GCTGCTAGGAAAACAAAATACAGGCATGGTATAACCTTCTGTTTACAAAGGGCAAGTTGTACTGTTTAGAGGAGGGGAACTGATGTGCTCAGGATTCTTTGAACTAGGAACCCAAGTTGTACTAATTCCTTTTGTTGTGTTCAGATAGGATGATGGGAAGGCTGGCCTCAGAAACTATTACAAGCATCAGTGAAAAGGACCAAAAGCAGCAGCTGTTTCTTGTTGCCAGTAGTGATGTACAAGAGCCCATCCTGTTGTCTTAAAGTTTCTTCCTGCCTTTTTGTTTCACTCTGGTGTTTTCCTTCTCCTCGCTGTGAGACTGATCTTGAAACCTCTTCTCTTTATACTTGCAGTGATGGCAGGAATAAGACTCAAAGAACAAAGCTCACTGCATTCTATCACTTCCTCTGGTAAGGGAATGGGGATTGGAGCCAGCAGAAAATTCCCATTGAAAGTTATTTGTCCATGGCAGCTGTCACTGGAGTGGCAATGGTTCAGCTCCAGCAGGGAATGACAGCACAGGGACATCTGCTGCAAGAAACGTTCTTGATTTGTTTGAAGATATTTCACACCTCAAAGGTGTGAGAAAAGCATCAGAAAAGATCCCCCTTCCTTTACCTCTCAGCAATATCTCTGGACTCTTTCTTCTTTAGTGTGAAAATTCAGACAAGTGTTGGACAACTGGGTGCCAGCTGTCTAATGGGAGCTGTACCTCTGGGTAAGCATGTGAGAGACTTGGGGAGAGGGTGTTCTCAACACGACAGAGTTGTCAACAGGCTTTCTGCTAAATTCTGAACTGTATGGCCGTATTGCTGGTAGCCTCTGTCTTTGGGCGTGGTGCCAGCAAACTATTGTCTGTAAAGAGTTGCTGCCTAGGATGACTGGGACACACTTATCAAGCAGATGTCAATCAGCAAAGGCCTTTGGGGGCCAAGCTTCAGTGAAAGTAAATCAAGCAAGCTGGATATGGCCAGATTGTTATGCAAATTGGCACAGCTCCACGCTTCCCTGCAGCAGCGGAGGATGTGTGTCCTATACTTCACATACAATTTCTTAGAGAAACAAAGCAGTGGTGACAGCTCCTGCTGGCATTCTTGCTTGCAGACTGGGATTTCAGTGAAACATTTCATCTAGTGGGAAGCTGGAAAGGGATAGTGCCGTGTCTGAGGAGGAAAGAAACCCTTAAATCTAATTTTCAAAAAAACCCCACACCAACCAGACCACTTTTCCAAATGAGGCTCATGCCTTACAGTATGCATGAAGCATGCTAGTGTAATTACTGTATTTCAAAGTTCAAAGGAAAGAAAGCTCCTGAATTATGCACTGCCAGTCAGGGTTACTGCCAGAAGCTATTAGGAAGTGAGTATGAAGTCTGGCATTGCAGGAGGTGGCAAATGTCCTTAGAGCTGGGTGGAGGGTTTTAGCCTGGTTCCTCTCTGATCCCACTGGAATATTTCTTCCTTTGCACAATGAGCGTGATAGCACTTGGATGCATCCTAGGTGCTGTGTTGTGGGGGGGTTGATTAAGGTTTATAAAGCACTGTGATGACTGACAGGGTGGAAGAGGGCAGGATTTCAGGACCCTGCCCCATTCTCAGTGCTGAATAGTTACTTGGAATCTAACCGGCATTAGCTGCTTTTGACATCAGCTCTTGCTTTGCAGTGATAGTTTTGTCCCGAAGGCATCCTGTGGTTAGACTGTTTCTGAATTGTTTACAATTACAAGCTACACTGGTTCCCTGTCTTGGGGCTAACTCACAGCACAGTTTCTAAAGCAAAACTCTGAAGTGCTTGTTTGGTTGTATGGCCACTAGCCTTTTTCCTACACTGTTATTGACACATCACCAACCTTCCCTTCCCTTCCCCTAAGGGAAGTTTCTCTAGAAGACTTGAAATGAGTTTTGGATAGATGTGAAGACTTAGTAGGAATTAACATAGAAATGAACATTAACGTATCTTCAGTTCATGCCCTCAGAAGAGTCTGGTACTTCTTGTTTCTCCTCCAGTCCAATCCCATATTTTCCTCCAAAAAGTTCTTATCAGGATGAGTTTCCAAAACTTACAGGCACCAAGGGTGGATCCACTGCAAACCTGAAGGAAGCAACCTCACATTTAGATGTGGGTCTGTGCAGAACTGGCTACTGCTGGAAGAGAGCAAGGCCTAGTTAAAAGGAATACCTTCATTCTTTCATGGACAGCATGTACAACTGTGCAAATCCAGCAGCAGAAGATAGAAAAGGCTGTCAGGTTAGCACCTGATGTGTACATGGGATGACAGGACTGTCCTTTGAAGCTTTCAGCCATGAACACAAGTCCAAGTTGCTGCAAAGTAAGGTAGAGGATGAACGTGTAATGCATCCAATGCTGTGGTAACTGCTTGTGCCTCTTTTCTTTCCCTGCTGTAAAGGTCAGCCTCCTGTGGCACTTGCCCTTGATACTGCTGGGTCACAGCGTATGTGGCTGTTCTGTGAAACAGATGATAAATTAATTCACTTGCTAGCTTGCTCCAGGATGCTTCATTTCTGCACCTACAGGCTGAAATTCATGGCCTCGCTGAAAGCAAGTTCCTAGTTGAGCCTTTTATGTTTTCTGTATGCACCCTCTTGGCCACAGTCTTTCTGTACCCTCTTTAGAAAGCAATCAGTACAGCTCTACAGAGACATTTAGCTTTCAGTTGTCCTTGCTTTCTCCATAAGCAGTGGGCTGCTTTCGTCTATATGCTTGTTGGGACTGGCTATTCCCAAGACTGTCCTCTGCTCTCTCTGATCCAGCTCTCACGGCAACAGTGGTAGCTTTGCTTGTCCTTGGGGGTGATGCTCTTTGCCTGTAGAGCCGATCAGTGCTAAGTTTCTCTCATTCAGCTTTTCCAAGTGCTTGTTTCTGTGTGCAGTCCTATTCTGACCTGGCTGTGAGATTTCCCTGGGGGAGCTTTACAGCTCAGTGTGTTTATGGGAGTAGCAGTAAAAATCCAGCCACAGAGATGCTTTTTTCCTAGATTGCCTACTCTCAATTAGGTTCTCCCAGACCTCAGGGTCTATTAACATACTGTCTGCAAGCCAATACAGACTTGTTCCACCGGGAACTGGCTTGCTGTTAATACTGGACCCACCTGGCTTTGGGTCAGGCAGCGCCAACTCTTCTTGCCATTTTTAGCACATTCCACTGAACTCATTAGTGTTTTGTGCCCCGAGGGGCTGACAGGGAGGGACAATTTACAGTGTCTGTGAAAGTTTTGCTTGACTGGGTAAACTTCAGCTCCAGCAAGGGCTATTATTGTTAGAGAATCGTTTTTACTTTCCTTTATAGCAGCACATGGGAAGTCAGGCTGTTGCCTGTTGCTAATGTGGAGGGATCCACCTGCGTGTTCTCATCTTGCTGCAGTGGGAAACACGTGGCTGCAGGTGTGTGTTTGGAAAGCCTGTTTGAGAAGACAAAGCCCCATTGTCCCCACAAAGGCTCCCCAAAGGGTAACTTCACACCACCTCGATTTATGAAACTGCCTCTGAGTAAACGCAAAGTCGCTGTAGCTTTTCACTGCAGAGATGTCTCATGGTAGCTGCTGGGAGTCTTGACCTGGGAATCAGTTCTCCTGCCAGGGAAACCTACGTGGGCACTATTGCACAGTGTTTTATCTTTGGCTGGCGCTGCTGGAAGGAGAGGCTCTCACATGTGATTTGTATCACACAATGGGTGGTGTTTCCCATTGGAGTGGAGCAAAACGATTCCCTCAGAGTAGGCTTCTGCTCTTCTTCCCTAGGGAAGAACCACAAGGCCCGGCATGGTAGGGAGCATGCCGCTGCCTCTCAGCAGTACAGGGAGTGACTGGGAGGGCGGCTTGTCATAAAAGTGATGTGCGACATAAGCCCTGTTAAAGTGGTACAGCAGCCTTAGCTGTAAACAGGCATGTGCAGGAGTGGTGTGTCGTTCAGCACTCAAACTTACAGTTTCACTGTAGCTATGGTTCCTGAGAGCTGTTGTCAGCAACTGTTACGGCTCTGACACATCTGCCTCCATGTAGCCTATCTTGACCAGGTGTCATTCCCTCCCTCTGCATATATGCATAAGCGAAGTCAGAATTAACCTTCTGCAGTTGAGTCTGTCCTGGTGTGCTGCTGTATTCTTAGGCCCTGAACGAGCTTTTTGGGGTGCTCGAGTAATGGATGCTGGGACCGAGACCCAAAACTAAATGCTCAAAATAAGTTTCTAGCGGTATGTGCAATCACAGGACAGTTGCATTGAGTCTGGGCTCAATGCCATTGCTGTGGCTGACTTGGGAATCCAAGCTACTTGGTCCTTTGGGTGCTAACTGAATGTGGTCTTGGCAATATAACCGGGGAGACGGACGGACAGACGGAATGTGGTTTGGGCCAAATTCAGATCATAGGTGTGAAATCTAGCTACAAAGGCTTAAATGAAACCTTTATCAGACTTGTAGTGTTCCCATTAGCCATGTTTAGAAAAACTTTATGAGGGGCCATTCCCAGCAAGTGATGAATGTTATGTACAAGCTGCTTTGTAATTGGAGTAATCCCACCTGCCCTCACATGAGAAATACCACGATAGGATTCAAGCCCGTTGAAGATCCACCAAGAAACACTGGGGATCAGCACCTCAGCCACATGCAGAGTGAAACAAGACACAGTTAATGATGTATCTTTCTGTTGATGCTTGTAACCTTTATTTGGTCAGTGCTAGAAAGCATATACAATGAATTCCCTTTCCTCCCTCTGGTTATCTTGAAGCTTGTGGAGTGTTATGATATTTCTTATTTCTTTTCATGTAAATTTTGCTTACATGAGGGATTTGTGGCAGTTCCTGTGACTGAATAATCTATACCAGTGAAAGGTCTCTCTTGTTACTGAAACCCTGTCTGTAGGAGGACTCATGCTGGTCTGTCAGTGTTGAGCAAGCTTTTTTTTGTGCTAAGCTGTTATAATTTCGTAGTGCAGAGGGAAAAACTCTAGTGAAAAACTCATTTTCGTTTCTACCAAGTTCTTACTTTCTCTGTCTTGTATAAGATCCAGCCTTGTGGGTAGCAGAGTACCAATAAAACCTAGGCTTTTGACTTCAGGAAAATACAAGAAATTTTAATGCAACAGACAGGAGAGAGGTCCAGCATAGATGTCTAAAGTGTTAGTTTTATTTAAAGATGGTCTCTTGGTGCTAGAGTAAGAAATGTTCTTTAAAAAACATCAAATAAATAAATAAATAAATAAATAAAAATAGGAATCACTTTCTGTTGAAGAGCTTAGAAAGCATCCGGCTTTCATCTTGGGAGGAACGGGTACTGTAAAGCATTCTTCAGAGTAGGGTATAGGGAGGTTGTCCTAATTCTTCCTGGAACCTGCAAGCCAAACATGAAATAAATGTTACTAGCATCTGTTTCTCTCTCAGTATATGCCACTACCGTCAGCAGTGCTTTTACCTAGCAAATCAATAGACACAGGGTTTCTTTTGAAAAACCAATACTAGCTTAAATATTAGGCTAAAATAAATTCCTTTCTTAGACTGTGTCTTATTAAAGACTTCAGTGAGAACCTGCTCCTCCCTTGTCACATGACACAGATGCAGTCTGTTCTGTTCAGCGAAATGGCTTAGGCGGGACTCACCGTTGCAACCCATTCCACTCAGGGAGCCGATTCTATCAATTCTCCTCCCGAAGCAGCCAGAATCTCTCATCATCCTGGGCATCTGCAGCCCCCTCAGTCTCTTGAGGAAGGGGTCCCTGTAGGACAGAGGGGTGCTGGGTGCTAGCCTGGGTTCAGCCTTCTGGTCTTCACTGTCATCTATGAGTTCTGGTGGGATCTCCTCCTGGGTTTTGGGTTCTTGCAGGTCAGGATTGGACTCCAGGGCTTCAATCATTGCAAACTTCTCCTCCAGTCTCTCTAGCAGAGCCTACAAGAGAAGGATTAATTTCATGAAACTCCCAGTTTCATGGTCATTTGCTAGCTCTTTCAGTCATCCAATTCTGCATTCATAGCCAGCCCTAGGGAGACTGTCAGGTTGGATCCCAGCGTTGCTGGTGGTACTTGAGCTCTGTCGTCCGCAGTAAATCCCTGTTTACATTAATTCCACCTATGGGTAGCTCTAGCTGAGAGCTGATTGAAGCTGCTTGCCACCAAAGTGTATCTTACTGGCAAGGTTAAAAGACCTCTTGGCAGAGGAAAAAAAGCAAGGTCTGAGTTGCACAGGGAGATGCTACTCAACCCGTCGGTGGTATACAATCTCAAAATAGTTCTGAATCCATAGTCCACTCCCATGTTCTCAGAAGTTGCCTGCAATGCTGCTTGCCAGCAGTTGACTTTCTCTTCTGTTTTGTTTTTTTTTTGGCCAAGACCATCTGCTTGCTTGTCACCCCTGGCTATTTCAATGGACATCAGTTGGAGAAGCTCTTGGTGTTTTCACTAGTCTCTGCCCCAGGAGTTACAGGATTGCTGCTCCTTAAAAACATGCATCTCCCTGAAAGTACCTGTATGCTAAGTTTATGTCTGCTCTGTGACTTCTTTCTGGGTACCATTCTCTATAATTTATAAGGCTTTGTGTAACAGGGATCAGATAACCTCCTCAAGGGCAGCTTAACCAATTAGAGGAATCTAATTGTCCATCTCTAGAAGCAGAGTGGAGTGAGCCTTATGGCTTTTTTTTCAGTGGATAAAATTTGGAGCACCAGGAGTTACAGGATTGCTGCTCCTTAAAAACATGCATCTCCCTGAAAGTACCTGTATGCTAAGTTTATGTCTGCTCTGTGACTTCTTTCTGGGTACCATTCTCTATAATTTATAAGGCTTTGTGTAACAGGGATCAGATAACCTCCTCAAGGGCAGCTTAACCAATTAGAGGAATCTAATTGTCCATCTCTAGAAGCAGAGTGGAGTGAGCCTTATGGCTTGCTTGACAGTGAATACATTTGGAAGCCACTGTTCTCGGCTAGCTGCTGGAAACAGCCTAGAGGCATGGGGCAGTTTTAGCTTTGGCTGACACTGTCCTAACCATCTTAGGGAGTTTGTTCTCAGGGTCTGATGCTGTGAGAAGCTGGTCACTGGTACCAGTCCAAGGAAAGATTTGAGCTTTCAGACTTCATCTTGCAAGACTGAGTCTTAAGCTTGTATTGGGCTGCAACAATGGATGTTCTCTATCATTCATTAAAATATGCACCTGGTAATTTCATAGTTCTAGAAGCTTTTCTGGATGAGTCACACTAAATGATCATACTATTCCTCTAGCAGTTTTTCTAAAAGTTTCACTTTGGGTGCGCCACTTTACCTCCTCATCTCCCATTCACAGGCAGCCAATTCTCTTAAATCCACAAAGCTAGAGCTGTATGGCTACCCTGCTTCACCGTTCCTGCCATTTAATGGGATAAACAGGAGCCCACCTGAAAGTTTTCTATTTGTTCTTAGAGAGCTACTGTGATGATTTTTTTTCCCTCTCTGGAACTTTGCTCTCAGGAAGGTGGATCTTTACAAGACAAAGAACCGAAAACCCAAAGCAGACATCCCACAACATCAGAATTTTGTTTCCCACTGCTACCCAGGAGCTCAACTGAACCCAGAAGTGGAGGATATTGCTCTACAGAGCTTCTTTGAACCCCTGTGAAGAACTGAGACTTTGTCCCCCGGCATGTGACCGCTGATGCGGCTATCCGATCGTGCAAAAGAAAGGCAAAAACATCACCTCACACTCTGCTAAACCCCCCAAAAGTTTAACCTTGCAAAAGAAGAGAGTCCTCACCTCCATGCTGGCCAGTTCTTTGGCAGGGCTGAGGCTGTAGATAGGGTTGGCTCTGGTGGACTGGAGTTGGATGAGCAGCAGCAAGAAGAAGCCACAAGAAAATGAGCCTTTAGTGTCCATAGCGCTGGGTTCGTTGGGAGTAGGGAAGTTCAAGCTGTTTCTTCTGAGATGTCTCTTCAGGTCTCTTTCTTCCTTGTCCTATCCTCTCTCTTCCGAAGCTTGTCTTTTATACTCTTCGGGTGTGATCTCTGCTTCCTAGGTTATCAGTGGATTTATCTGGGGCACATTCCAGTCCCACAGCAGGCATGCAGCTCTGTCAAGGGAAGATTCCCTTTATTAGCTGTCATTAGGCAGCAGCTGCTGTTGCTGAGGAATGTATGTCACAAGTCAGTGATTTCATGTCACTCCCCCTCCTCTTGATACCAGGCGCTGTGATTACATAGTCCAGTTGGAAATTCTTAGCAATTTTCTTTCAAGAGACCCCTATGGTCAGATTTACGGAGATGGGAAACAACCCTGAAACTGTTCTAAACTCTGCTCAGTTAGAAGCTTTCCATAGGGAAATTACCTTTTACAGGGAAAACAATAGGCTTTTCAGATGAGTATTTGGTGGAGAGTAAAGGCTGAAGATAAATCTACTTTTAGGACACCTAAAGTATTGTGCACACTTTCCTTCTATATATGGAATATGCACAGCCACCGCATACCATGGAGTGTGCTGAAAATCCCAGGTTTGGGCCACTTCTCTTTTCCCATTGCTGTTGAGGTGATATCACCGTTGAGACTTTGTGTTTGTATGTTGCCAACAACAGAGGCGCTCCGATCTGCACCTCAATACAGACGATAACTTCTAGACTGGCTCTGCAGGGACACCGCGTACCTCCAGCCCCTCCCGACAACTGACTTCGGCACCATTGAAAAACACTAGTCTTTATTAACAGCTAAACATTTAAATCAATGGGATTTCTTTAGACATCGATGGTAAGGCTTGACCCTATATCAATAAAATTTAAAGAAGAGATGGTCAGATTCAGGAATAATCTTCTTGTACCGTCATACAAGAAAGCAACTTCTCGACGAGAACTTTAGATAGATGGCTTTCGGTGTTATTCAGCAAAGCTATCAGAATCTGGCCCCAAGGAAGAATAAATGGATTTGTGTATATGTGTGTTTTGGGAGGGGTTAAAATTAAATGTTTAGTTTAATATATTAAAGTCAAAAAGTATTTATTTCTTTGAGAGCTGAAGTTTTCAAGATTAGCTAAAAACGCCTGTGCTTAAATGAGAAATTACAAAAATGCAGATTTGCTGCAAATTCCTCTTCCAGCATTGTCTTTGTGCGTATAGTGCAACTAAAAATTAATCTTTTTTAGAGAACTGCAGGAGAGTTCTAAATCGCGAAGCATATTGCTTATCCTGCGTTTTCCTAACGTTTCTTGTTATTCTAAATTGAAACAAGAATGCATATATGAGCAAGTTGAATATGTCAGTCTAGTAATAATTTGTTGACTTTTAATACAAATACAGATCTTGAAAGAATCTCCTGAGTACAGTTTCTAAATAATAATAGAACGATAAAATATTTCTCATGTCTTAAATGTCTTAACATGGTGTTTGTGTACAAACATGTGCACACACCGTTCACATGATCAGCTACCAAAATTATACTAGAAAGGACATTCTCAAGGTTGTGAAGTCAAGCTCAAATGCTACTTTTTCCTAATATAGCCCAAAGTCAGCCCAGCTCCGCATGTGTTCTGATGAAGCCCTTTATTATAAGAGCACTCCCTATTTTTCCCCAATGCTTTCTTTTTTTCAGTACATGGAGGCAGTACTCATTTTTTGTATTATTGTGTGTCCCAACATGTTCTTATTTTGTGCTATTAAGAAAGAACTAAGATCCTGATAGCTTTTGGTTTGTTTTTTTTGTTTGTTTGTTTTTTAAATTAAAACTCCATACTGCAGCGTCTGTATAATTCACTAATTAGTTACAAGTATTCTCTTACTGCTGCTCTTGGGTGTGTATGAGTTTGTTTGCACCAGGGCGTAACTTCATTTTGTAAACGGAGAAAGTGTGAGAAGATAAACCAGAATTATTCATTAATATTGAGTGTCCAAATGAAGATAACTAGGTTCTGTTATTGTTTTATTTTTTGTTTCTTTCCTTTCACCCCCCCTCACCCTCTAAGTATTCTCTAGCGCTGTCTCTGTGCAAAAACATTCTGTTGCTCGATCTGAGTTTTGTGCGAGAGCTCAGCACATCTGTAAAGCAACCTCGGGGGCACAAACCCAGCAGCAAGAAACCGAGGAACACAATACCAGGCACAGGTGTGAAATATTTAGCTTTGAGTGACCTGTCCCTGTGAAACAAACTAATATTCCGGGATTGTATTCAATAACCTGGACACAGAGATACTCCTTTCTTTTACTGGTTTGTTCCTTTTCCATCTTCTGTATTCCGCAGCAGATAAATGAGATGTAGGGGCCTGACTTCAGCCTTGACAACGCTTTTCTAAGGCAGGGAGATTTCTGTGTACTATTTCATGTACTATGTATGGAAGTACATAGATGGGATAAAATGGCTGACCGTCACAGTAGCTATTGCATTTTCAAAGCCAAATTCTGCCCTCCATTATCCATTTCTCAATCCTGCCAAAGCAAATGGAGTGTAAACTGTCAGAACTCAGCTCATCGTTGTTGAAGCTATAAAGCTCACTTGTTTGCTTGCTTGTGGTACCTCGGTATCATCACTCTGGCAAGATTAATATGAACTCTAGGCTTTATAGCCCAGCAGTGGCTAGTCAGGGTCCAAGCATTGCCCATGCTCAGCTGGCCATTTGCCTAGTAAAACCCCTGTTGGAGTCTTAACAGGGCAGCAAGTTCTTATAAAAAGCATACTGTGACCGGTTTTAGGGTTGGGAAATTAGGACATTTCCCCAGCATCCCAGGTCATGAGCTAGGAGGTGTGGGGACATGAGGCTCCATTAGAAAGCAGCACCGGTTGCTCAGAGCAGAGAGGGAGAGCACCAAGGGTGCTGCTGGCAGCCCCGTGTGGATCCCTATGAGGAGGAGGAGGAGGGTACACGGAGAGAGCTCAGCTGAGGGTGACACTGCCCCTTCCCCAGCAGGATGGTGAGATGTCCTTGTTTTTCAGGACTGTAAGCCTAGGGGCTGGTGTCATGTGGATTCCTTCTGCTGATAGATCTGTCCTAACCGATGCCCCTACCTGCTGCACATCCTTCCAGTGATGTCCATTCTCCTATTGCCATTGTGCAGCTGAAGAGTGCTAGAGTGTGAGCTGATCGTAGTCCTGTTCTGAGGAAGAGGCTGGATTTGGATTCCTTTCATCTCCCAGTGACGAAACCCTGTGACAAGACTATGCCGTACCCTACCCAAGCTCTCTTTCCCTGCCTCGCAATTCAGTTGGATTAAGAAGACGTGAGGCCACCAGTGCAGGAAACAAAAGGGACATGTAATCACGTCTGGTGCAGGGCATGCAGCACCAAGATCATAGGACAGGCCATACTGCAATTAAGATAGTTAAGTGGTGCCTCACTTTTTCCATGGGGGAGGAAACTTATTTTCATCCCAAACATGGGTTGTTTCTCCTGCTGATCGGGATATGTGATCTCTGTGATGTGGCTGCCCCTTCCTTTGCTGGGCTCTCCAGGCTCAATGCGGGCAGCATGGGCCCTGCCTCTCTCGGTTCCTTTCGAGCAGGGTGTTTGGCAATGCCTGCAGCCTTTCTGTCTGTTTAGGGCTCCCTGTGCTTCACAGCCTTGTCTGGAGAGGGCTTTGCACAACACCTGGGGAGAAGAGCGAGGGGGACTTCGCTGAAGCCAAGCGACATGAGCTTGGGGAAAAGCGTTCGTGCAAACTGCGCTGGGCCGGGTGAGCGGGGCTTGGCTGTGCTCCGGGCCCGGGCAGGGGGAGGCAGTCCTCCGG